CTTCTTCTCTACAGATTATATGACATTATTATATATTATGCAACATATTTTACATTATATTTTACTAGTTTACAATTGTTTTTGTCTATCTGTTCTGCTTCATAGGTCTGTAGTCACTTCTTATACTATGCTCTACTTTTTAGTTTTAAATAACCTTAAGTCCATCTTAAAATATAGTTGGTAAGACCCATCTTACTACTCTCATTTGAATATTTTTAACTAAATAGTCTTTTTTTAATTGTGTACTTATTTTTGAGAGAGAGAGAGAGACAGAGCAGAAGTAGGGGAGGGACAGAGTCGAGGGAGACACAGAATCGGAAGAAGGCTCCAGCTCTAGGCTCTGAGTTGTCAGCACAGAGCCTGACATGGGGCTTGAACTTGCAAGCCGTGAGATCATGACTTGTGCCAAAGTCGGATGCTCAACTGACTAAGCCACCCAGGTGTCCCTTAAGTAAATAGTCTTAAATAAATATTCTCAAATAGTCTTGTCTTTTTATTCTTAGTAGAATTTATACTTCCAGCAAGTTTGCAAAATCAAAATCACTGGGCTTTTCATTAAAATTGTATTAACCTTTTCAATAATTCTTAAAGAACTGATCATTTTTCAAGCAGAATCTTCTTCAAAATTGTGTGTCTGGACTTCTGTTCAAGTTGTCTTTGATGTCCCTTAGTAAAAGTGTGTAGTTTCCTATATATGGGTCTCCCTCATTTCTTTTTTAATTTTTAAAAAATTTTTTAATATTTTTATTATAGAGAAAGAGAAAGTATGAGAGGAACAGAGGAAGAGAGAGAAAATCTTAAGCAGGCTCCAGGCTCAGCACAGAGCCAGATGTGGGGCCCAATCCCATGACCCTGGGATCATGACGTGAGCTGAAATCAAGAGTCAGATGCTCAACTGACTGAGCCACACAGGCACCCTTCTCTAATTTCTTATTCAAAATATTCCTAGAAATTTTGTGGTTCCATGGGTAGCATGAATTTGGTCACCCTCAGGGATTCTGATACATCTTCTAGAACATAGCCCCCCACCACATCCCCTCACCACCTTACTTTTAAGTATATATATCACCCTTCACAATCAGGGGCAAGGAGCAATGTTAAGTAAACTGAAGTAAAACAAAGCTATTTATTTCATTGTTTTTGCTTGTTTGCCTGGAATCACTTTATTATTTTTCTTATTCTAGGAGTTTTTCTTTTGCATTGAGCAATTTGCTGTCTAAAATGAAACTCAAGCATTTCCTCTTGAGGAAATGCAATAACCAGTGAATGTTAATATGTGCAAAAGCCCGTGCTGAATGCTTCAAGAATACAAAGACGCAAAGATCTGGATTTGCCTTTGGTCAATCAAGTTTGGGCAGAAAGGGGCACTTAAAAGTCAGGTTAATTAAGCTAAGCCAAAAAACAGAGCAACAACAGAAATAAGCATGTGCCTTTTCATTAAAACTACTAATAGTTTGTCCTTCTGAATATAGGTATTGCTTAAGTGAAAATAACTGCTGAGGTAGGGTGTTGAGGCAGGAATAAACCTACGTTTGAAAAAAAAAGCCAATCTTCGGCATTTCTGCACATCCTGTAGTTTTCTCCGACCTCACAAATCAGATGCACATAGAAACTTTATGTTGGCCAAGAATGTACAGCTAAATCATTGTCTTGAGTTTGGAAGAGGTGGAGGTGGAGGGGGGGCTCTACCATCTGGCCCTCGGAGACAGCACCAATAGACCTCTGCCTTAAAAAAGTGGTTGTCTCTTCTCTTCGTAAAACCAACACCACCTACACTAAGAATGGGCTGTGTCTGAATGCCAATTTCTAAATGGTTCATTTGGAACTTGTGACACATTTTCCTATGAAAACGATGCTTTACAGCAGAGCTCTTCAGATGTTAGTCGACATCACAATCTCCTGGACAGCATGGTAAAAAAAACACAGAAACCCAAGTCCAGGGTGCTGACTCTGTACACCTGGAGTGGACCCCCAAGGATGCTGCATTTGAACAAGCTCCCAGGGATGCTGGTGCTCCTTGGTCCCTAGGAGCAGCCCCAGTTTTGATCATCCCCAGCAAGTACCAACACAGGCATGCTCATATACTGTGGTGCGGAGCCCTCCTCCCTCCACACAGCTTCAGGAAACCACTAAGCCAGGTGCAGAGACTCTGAGAGTGGTGTTGCTGCTAGTCAGGCAGGGAGAAAGGTTTTGGCAATAAGAGAAGATTAAGAAATGCAGACTGGATGGAGGTGGTATCAGTAGTTGCTCTACCTAAGGATTAGGTAGGAGACAGAAAGGTGGCTGGATTGGACTCCTTTTGGTAACTACTCTCCGCATGGACAGTAAGGGCATCGGACAGGAAGGAGATATGTCCACCAATCGCAATGACTTCCAGGCAAGGAGTGGATCTCGTGTGGGAAGGAAAAATACAGAATTCCCAGAATGCTCCATCTCCAAGTGCTTGCCAACTCATGATGAGGTCTTTCCCAATCATACTTACACACATAATCCACACCCGCCCTAAAATGGAAAGGGGACTGGCATTTATTTAGCACCTGGTAAACATCAAGCACAGTCCTCGGCACACTGTGTACCTCCTCACCCTTACTTTTTGTCCTCATTCTACAAGTAAGAGTCTACTGTGCGCAGAGCAAGAGCACAGCTCCCACCCCTGCTTGGTGGGCGGCTTTAAAGAAACGACTTAACCTCTTCAAGCACAGGTTGTTTGTTTGCTAATCTGGAAACGAGAGCAATCATTCATACATTTCAGGATTGCAGTGAGGATTAAAATATATAGGTCAAAAACACAGCATAGAGCCTAGCCCATTGCTGATGTTCCATAAATGGTAGCTGGATCATTATAATTACCATAATTGTCCTCATTCTCAAAATAAAAAAATCGCAGAAACAAAACAAAAAAAGACACTGGAAAAGAGAAGGAAAAAACTGGTTATTCCTGCTGCCCTAGCATGTTGCCTTTGGGGGAACTAGTGTGTACATCACCCCAGAAGCCTGGAGTCACCAGTGTACTGCTGTGTTCAGAGCACTTGGTTTCCATAATTAAACCCTGACGTGTCCCTTATACGAGAAGGTCTTAAGGCTTGGACGTCACAATCGCTTTTGAAGTGAAAACCTTCGTCATGAAGATGCCTAAATGTAACTAACACAACTAATATATACCCAATGATCACTAGATGAATTTATGCTTCAAAGGGTGGTTTTCCACTGTCTGGGGCGCCCAATGTTTCCAATGGACTCACTTCCGTTCAGCAACCAGAGTACTTCTTGAAACAACAACAAAAATTGTTTTATCAGTTTTGTTATAGTCACTTGTGTGCCTTTCAAACTTTCTAGCACAAAATTATAAGTCTCTAAATGAGTAAATCCTGTTCAAAAAATATTGTTGTCCAGTAATATTCGATATATTCAAAAGAATGTATGCAACACTTGTGAGCTATAAAACACGACAAAGCTGACACTCCAGAGCCAGACTCGACATGAGAAGAAAAGACGACACGTTTTATTGAACCCGCTTGCATGCTAGTGGTTGGCTGGGGAAAAAATGGTCCTTCAAAGATATACTTACCTCAAAATCTCCAGAATCTGTGAATGGTCTGTAAATAATCTGTGTGTGTGTGTGTGTGTGTGTGTACATGTAATATTCCTTGTGATTTTCAATTAAGGAAGATAGTAAGTTAATAAAATTAATACTTAACACAAAACCAGTTGTAGCCTTAGCTCTGACACAAGCTTTCAGTTAATTGAAGCTTCTTAAAAGTGCAAGTTTTCTTGAAACGAAGAAATAAGAATACATAATCTCTGAGGATCCCATGAGCCCTAAATCCCATGATTCTATGACGGAATTTCATGAAGCACCCAAAGACTGATGGACAGAGACAAGAGCAAGTTAAAGTTTAATATGACTGTCAATTGAATTTGGAAACAAACCTCTTTTTTCTCTTTTGACATAAAATTTACATGCAAACAATTAACGAAAGAAAAGTGATAAGCCCAGTTTCTTGTTGGTACTTCAAAAGACTGGAATGACTGTTAATGCATCAGCTACCTATTTAACTGCTTTCTCTAATAAATTCAAACTGGACAAACTTTAACATCGAAGCATTCTCACTTTTCCACTTTATTGCGCTTGAATGAAACAATGTCCGTACCCTTAAGGAGCTCAGAATCTAGCAGCAGAAACACACAAATACATAGAGAACATATTAGCTTCCCACTGCGGGATGCCACAAACATAGTGACTGCACACATCACACATTTACTGTCTCCAGTTCTGGAGGCCAGACCTCCAAAATGGGTTTCAGTGAGCTAAAATTAACTAATAAATTCTTAGACGCATAATCGCTCTCGGGGACGTTAAAACAGGAACTTCTATTGAAACCTAACGCAATAGAAAGACTCCAGACTGAAAGCCTAGACTCCCAGTCAAGACCTGCCCTGAAAGGAGGAGAAATCATTTTACTTCTTAGATTGTTGTTTTGAAAACTGGCCCCCTACACAGAGGACACGGGGGGCCCGCTACAGATTAACAGATTAACAGGCACCTATTTGTGGGTTTTTCCATTTTTGTTTGTTTTGGGGCTTGGGATGCCATAGTTTATTATAAGAGAGAGACATGGCGATTCTCACATGATGAAAGAGTTCAGAATTCACTAGAAGGGGCAGCTTCATGGGATGCCACGTCATGAGCGACTTACTTCAGTCTACATACTTTGCAAGAATGCCACCATCTCTAAAAAGAAATCATCTTGCTCATCTAGAGCTACGTTGGTGCCTGCTTACTGGGAGAGAACTACCCCCAGCTTCCACACTGACTGGCGGAATCCGTCCACACTTTCCTTTACAGCCCGTCCAACAATGACTCCTGCTGCCTGCCTTGCGTGTTCCTTGAGATTTTTTCTGGAAGCACAATGCCTCCTTTGTTTACAGTTCCGGCTGCACTCCTTTCAACTAAAACTCAGTCTGGAAGGGGAGGAGAGCTTCTGAATGCCCATCCTGCAAGCAGTTTGCAGCCTGCTCTGGGGCACCGAGGACGGTAAGCAGCAGGTTTAATGAGGCGACAAACTTAACTTTTCAAGCTTGACTCAACCGCCCCAAGGTGAGTAGACCTCCGCACTCGCCCACAGAATCTTAAAAGTTTCTTTAAAAAAAAAAACAACTTTTTTAAACTTCACTTATTTATTTTGAAAGAGAGAGAGAGCGCGCAGGGGAGAGAGAGAGAGAGAGAGAGAGAGAGAGAGAGAGAGAGAATCCCACACAGGCTCTGCATCCCATGCAGGGCTCAAACCCACGAACCATGAGATCATGACCTGAGCTTAAACCAAGAGTCGGAGGCTTAACCCACCGAGCCACCCAGGCACCCCAAGATTCTTCAAAGTTTCTATAGAGAACTAACCTGGATTCGGTTAAAGTACGCGGCCCCGGGGACTCGACGCCGCATTCCTCCCAGGCTGTTCTCCTGGGCAGCTTCCACTTCGAGAAGGCAAGCAAAGTGCACCATCGGAGGGCACGGGAGGAGGTGAGGAGCCTCCGGGCCCTGGGGTCCAGCTTGCGAGTTAACCAGCGGTCATGACCTCTCAGTGACCGCCTCCAACACACATCTCAAGGCTCTAAAAAGGTCATCGATTGTGCATTTCAGGAGCGGAGTTTGGGAGCAATGTATTCCTGTGCTGTGAAGCCTCCTCATCCGCTCCTCCCCCCACCCCACGCTCTCCCCCTCCCCAGGGACGGAGATGCACCTGCTTGCCCCTCAGTTCACACCAGCAGGGTGGCTTGGAGATCCTGATGTGCTTATACCCTCCCTGCACTTTGGGAATCAGCAGCCTGGTGTCCGCGTCCGCCTGCAGAGCTAAAGATGGAGAGGTGCCCTGCATGGCTGCTTTCTGAGACAGAAAAAAGGGGGTTTTGGGGGGCCCGTGACAGACAGTGGCCATATGCTCGTCTTTCATCAGGAGGACTGACCAGAAGACCAAGAACCACCCCAGGAAGAGACGGGAGGCAACGCCAAATAACGGAGAGCTGCAGAGGTAAGTGAGCGTCTGGAACAGAGATGCGTGCGCGTTGTCCAAGGGGCCACAGATAGGCTTCTCCAAAGAATCCCGCACGAAAGTCCGTTTTCAACACAATCAAGTCTAGAAAACACTGGCAACACAACAGGACAAGTACTAAGAACTTGCTCCCTTTTATCCTCTGTGTCCCAGCTCAAGTGCAATAGAAACCAGAGTTCCAGAACTTGAAAAGAAAAGGTAGAAGAGAGAGTGTGAACCGACACACTCCCTTTCCGAAGGCAGGCTCTGACCTCAGGCTGCTTGGACGCAGGCTCCAGTGGGGAAGGTACAGAGACTTTCATTTTAAGTCAAGATCGAGTCGCGGTAATTTCGTAATGTCTCAGAGAAGTTGTGGGATTTTCCTGAGTGGTCATCCGGACAGTGGAATAATAGCTCCATCGGGCAGATTTATAAAAGCAGTAAGAAACAAAAATGGAGTTGTATCCGGGACACCTTGCTTGTTCAATGTAATGGATTTACATTGGCTTAGAAGTCCGGGCTGGAAGGAGTGAGATGCGGGATCACCTAGCCCCTGTCCTTGACCCACACCTGCACATGTAACTCCCCGACTCAGGCCACACACCTAGGGCACGTGTGTGGGCTGTTGGGGTTCTCTCAGCCTCTCCAGGCTCCGGGACCTCAACCACTTGCTCTGCCAAGGTCATTGATACCCATGGGGCATGATGCTTTATAGTGGCTAATTTTATGGGAAGCAGGTGATTTCTTAATGTGTGATTTTGCTTTTCTATAATCCATAACAAATTTGAACAATCGTTCATACATTTATGAATGTATTTATATTTAACCTATGTGCAACTTTTCATATCAGAACTTCTCATATTTTTTCAAATTGGGTGCTTTTATTTGCTGCTTCCTAAAGACTCCTTGTATACAAAGATGATTAACTCTATTGTGTAAGTTGTAAATATTTTTCTAAATTCACTGCTTTTGATGATTCTTTAGGCTGCATTCAAGAATGCAGACCTGTTGAGATTTTACATGACTTCATTAATGATTCATTGTCATAATTTCCACCTTTGGTGTCATATTTAGAAAGCCCTTCTCCACTGAAATATTATAATAGTATTTCCCTACATCTCCTTCTGATTCTATATTATTCTATTTTACATCTAAATTCTTATATAAGTATAGCTACTCCAGCTTTCTTTTGACTTCCAGTAGCATGGTATATATTTCTCCATCCCCTTACTTTTAATCTGAAGGTATCCTCAGGTCTAAGATGAGCTTCTTGTAGACAACAAATAGATGGATTTTGTTTTTGTATCCATTCTGCTACCCTATGTCTTTTGATTGGAGCATTTAGTCCATTTACATTCAGTGTTATTATTGAAAAATATGGGTTTAGAGCCATTGTATTCTCTGTAGGATTCATGCTTGTGGTGGTGTCTCTGGTACCTTGCGTTCCTTGCAACATTTCCCTCATAGAGTCCCCCTCAGAAAACTAAATTCTTAATTTACATGGAATTTCCTTTGATACTTGGAATGATGCAAGTTTTTAGCCTTATTGTGCTCCAAATATTTAGTCAGTTACTCTGATGCCATTGGGGAATAATTCTTCGTCCACACATCTTTTTTCTTTTCTTCTTGTTTTTGAAGAAGACAGAGACAGAGAGTGAGTAGAGTTGGGGAGGGCAGAGAGAGAGAGACATTCACACAGAATCTGAAGCAGCTCCAGGCTCCAAGCTGTCAGCACAGAGCCCAACATGAAGCTCGAACTCATGAACCACAAGATCATGACCTGAAACCCAAGTTGGAGGCTTAACCGACTGAGCCACCCAGGTGCCCTCTGTCCACACATCTTATACAAGCCTATATTGTGTTCTTCCAAGGTCTTGGTATTAAGATGCGTTTTCATACTGAAAGCTTTTGTTATATACTTTTGCATAGCTAGAATGGACCCTGCTTGGTGTATTGGATTTGCTCATGTTTCACTAGCATTGGTGTGCCAAAATTTATAATTTTTAAGGGTTTTAAGGGTTGTAGTTGCCCTTAACTTTTTGTTGTTGTTGTTTTGTGTTTTTTTAATTAAAAAAAATTTTTTTAATGTTTTATTTCTTTCTGAGAGAGAGAGACAGCGTGAGCAAGGGAGGGTCAAAGAGAGAGGGAGATACAGAATCTGAAACAGCCTCCAGGCTCTGAGCTGGCTGTCAGCACAGAGCCCAACACAGGGCTCAAACCCACGAATCGTGAGATCATGACCTGAACCGAAGTCGGATGCTTAGCCAACTGAGCCACCCAGGTGTCCTTTGTTTTGTTTTTAATGCGGGTTATTCTAATCCATCAGATGCATTAGAAAAAATCTTCTTGATGCTCTCTAATAGTTAAAATGACCTAAGAATTATCTGTCCGTTAGTGATTTGATAAAATTATAATCTGTAACTCCTTTAGGAGTGATGTTTTTTTCACAATGGGATCTTTTCCTGCCTTTTAAATTTTTTCTAGGATCTATTCAGGTTTTTTAGTGCTTCTAGAGTTAAGCATTTATATTTCACAATAAAGTTTTCCATTTCATCCAGAAGTGTCCATAAAGCTAACGTGCATTATATATCTCCATGGGAACCACAGAAAGCGGTTTTAAATGTGTTCGATCAAGAACCCAGGAACCTTTTGTTGCTTAACTAATCTTTTTGTAGGACTGTTGTTCTAAGTTACACACTTCGGAAATGCTGACCCCATGTCTTAGAACATCCCCTTAAATTTGTTTTTAAATCCTTTCTGTTCAAAGAATTGCATTGCCTTTCTTACTCTGAATCTTGTATATTGCTTTTCCTATCTTTATTTTATACAATTATTTTTCCTCAAGGAATTAGCTTTTGAATATGTGTGTTCATTTTTCTGGTTTTTTTTTGTACTCCTTTAATTTTTTTTCTTTGTTCAGAATTTTTTCTTTGTTCTCCCTCCTTAATGGAAAAGAAATTTAAATCAGGAAGTCACTAGGAATTTGTTTCTGAAAACCTAAGCTGAACTTTTAAGTATTTAAGCTGAATGAAAGAAAAGGAAGCTCGGAGAATGAACAGGAAGAGTATGTTAAGAGCCAACATCAGAAAGAGAGAGGAAGGAGGAAGCCAACACTTGTAACAGGGAATGGGTGCAAACAACTTTTCAAAACTGTTTTTCTGGATTTACTGAGAGATAATTGGCATTCATTGCTTTATGAACCTCAGGTGTCCAGCATAAAGGTTTGACTTAATATATATTGTGAAATGATCATCACAATAAGTGTAGTTAATGTCCATCATCTCACACAGACAGAATATAAATAACTGGGGAAAAAGGGAGGAAACTGTTTTTCCTTATAATGAGAACTCTTGGGATTTAGTTTCCTAACAACTTTCCTGTATGTAATACAGAACTGGAAATTATAGTCATCATGATGTACGTTACGTCCCTAGTGCTTATTTACCTTTGAACTGGAAGCTATCATTGGACTCCCTTCTCTCAGTTCCCTCGGCCCCTATTTCTCAGCCTCTGGTAAACACAAATCTGATCTCTTTTTCTATAAGGTTTTTTTTCCTCTTAGATTCTACATATAAATGAGATCTCTGTCCAACTTATTTCACTGAGCATAATGCCCTCAAGGTCCCGCCAACTTGTTGCAAATGGCATGATTTTTCATTTTTTAATGACTAAATAATATATATACATATATATGTATATCTGATGTAAATCATATAAATCAGAACTCCTTTACCCATTCATCTGTTGATGGACATTTAGGTGGTTTCCATGTCTTAACTATTGTAAATAATACTGCTATGACCATGAGGGTGTAGACATCTGTTCCAGTTAGTGTTTTTGTTTCCCTTGGTTACATTCCCAGAAGTGGAATTACTGGATCATACGGTAGGTCTATTTTTAATCTTTTGAGGATCCTCCACACTGTTTTCTATTGTGGTTATCTAGTTTACAATCCCAACAGCACACAAGGGTTCCTTTTCTCTCCATCCACACCAACACTTGTTATCTCTTTTTGACAACAGCCATTCTAACAGGTGTGAGGTGATACCTCATAGTGGTTTTGATTTACATTTCCCTAATGACTAATGATGCTGAGCCTCTTACCTGTTGGTCATTCCTAAATCTTCTTTGGAAAATGTTTATTCAGGTCTTTCACCCATCTTTAAATAAGATTGTTTGTTTTGCCGCTGAGTTGTAGGAGTTCTTTATATACTTTATATATTAACCCCTTATCAGATATATAGTTTGCAAATATTTTCCCTTTCTATAGGTTGTCTTTTCACTTTATTGGTAGTTGTTGTTGTTGTTGTTGTTGTTGTGTGTGTGTGTGCACACGTGCAGAAGCTATTTAGTTTGACGTAGTCCACTTGTTCATTTTTTTACTTTGTTGCTTGTGCTTTAAGTGTCAGATCAAAAAATCATTGCCAAGACCCATATCGAGGAACTTTTTCCTATATTTTCTGGAATTTTATGGTTTCAGGTATTACATTCAAATCTTTAAATCTATTGTGAGTTAATCTTTGTGAATGTGTAAGATAGGGGTCTAGTTTTATTTTTTCACATATGAATATCCAATTTTCCCAGCACCATTTATTGAATAAACTGTCTTTTCTACTTTGAGGATTCTGGGTTCCCTTGTCAAATATTAGTTAACTGTATATACTTGGGTTTATTTCTGAGCTTTCAATTCTGTTCTGTTGGTCTATTCTTCTGTTCCTATCCAGTATCACACTATTTTGATTACTATAGCTTTACAGTACAGTTTTAAAATAGAGAAGCATGATGCCTCCTGCTTTTTCTTTCTTAGGATTGTTTTGGCTACTTGGTGTCTTTTGTGGTTCATATGAATTTTAGGATTGTTTTTTCTACTTCCATAAAAAATGTCGTTGGAGTCTTGATAGGGATTGCATTGACTTTATAAATGGCTTTTGCTGGTATTGGCCTTTTAACAACATTATTTCTTCCAATTCATGAACAGTGGATACTTTTCCTTTATTTGTGCCTTCTTTGATTTCTTTTATCATTGTCATGGTTTTCAGAATAGAGGTCTTTTACCTACTTGGTTAGATTGATTCCTAAATATTCTATTGTTTTTGAGGTTATTTAAATGGAATTGATTTTATTTTTATTTATTTATTTATTTATTTATTTATTTATTTATTGGATAATTCATTGGTAATTAATAGAAATGTTACTAATTTTTGTATGCTAATTTTGTATCCTGCAACTTTACTGAATTTGTTGGTTACATCTCACAGTTTTTTGGTTGAGTCTTTAGGATTTTCTATATAAGCAGCATATCATCTATAGAGACAGCAATATTTCTTTTCTAATTCCAGTGCCTTTCATTTCTTTTTCCTGTCTGATTGCTCTGCTTAGGATTTCCATTACTATGTTGGATAGAAGCAGTGAGAGAAGGCATCCTTGTCTTTTTCTAAATCAACCTTTCTCCACTGAGTATGGTATTAGCTGTGGGCTTGTCATATATGGCCTTGATTATGTTGAGGTATGTTCCTTCTGTACCTAATTTGTTAAGTGTTTTTATTATGAATGGATGTTGATTTTGTCAGATGTTTTTCTGCATCTATTGAGTTGATCATAGGTTAATAAGGTATTATCCTATTGATTAATTTGTGTATGTTGAACCATCCTTGCATCCCAGGGATAGATTTCATTTGATCATAGTGAATGAGCCTTTTAATGTGCTGCCCAATTCAGTTTGCTAATATTTTGTTGACAATATTTGCATCTATATTCATCTGGACTATTGGCCTATAGTTTACTTTTGTAGTAATGTCCTTTTCTGGCTTTGGTTTCTATGTAATTCTGGCCTCCCTTTAAAAATATTAGTTCCCAAGTTACCTGTAAAGACAGGCACCATAGGCAACTAGCCCATAGATAAGGGATTTTGAGTAGAAGAGGAATTCTTTTTTTCTTTTTGCCTCTTTCCAAATGGAAAGACTTGGTCCTGTCTGTACGTCTAGCTTATTGGATAATAACACAAACAGGAATAAACATTTACTTAGAAACCCCATTTGGACTGAATTATAATTTTTTCCATATTCCAAAATATATGAACTGTGCCTACAAATGGCCATTTGGACTATGAGACCTATAACAAAATATCAAATATCTACAACATAGGATAATTCCGGCATTTGGTACTCTAGGAATTAAATGTCCTCATGAAGTGTTAATGTCATTTTATTTGTCCCCTATCAATTAGTTCTCTAAGCACATTATAACATCTCTGAATTTCAGTTTTCTCACCTGTAAAAGGGACATTATGATATCTACTGAGCAGGGTTTAGGTGACGATTGGAGTTAACAGGTTGGTCTGAGGACTCTTTTTCCCAGTAGTTTTGGCCTTTTAAGGACCCTACAAAATTTTAAAAGGAGATCTTTGGGGCTTGCAGAATCCTAGGGGATTTCACTTCATGATATATCAAAGTATGCAAGTGTTTTTTAAACTATAGATTTGAATCGCGAAGCAAATCCTTGGAAAGATCTTGTGGTTTAAGTCTTGCAATCTAACTAAATGTGGCTGTATTATTACAAATAGATATTTCATTGATTTCAAAATGTTTTGTGGTTTTTTTGTACATTTTCACATCCGTGCTCAGAATGCTTCTTACACTGATGTCTTTACCAGCATGGCTGAAGTTGTTTTTCTTTCCTAGGAGTACATAAGTTAATGAAAAGAACATTTTATAGACGAGGACATCTTAGATTCAACAAAATACTGTAAGGTCTTCAGGCTTTTCAAATGAGGCACCCCTCCCTGGGAAAATCCACATGCCTTTATGAATTACTACAGTCACACAGAGGGCAGAGGGAGTGAGTTTTGATGTTTGTCTTGTCCATAAGCCTGGTTTCCCTGTGACTCATCATCGCCAGTATACTCCAGCCATTGAAGATACCAGGTGCATATACACACATGAGCATACAAAAGGTTTCAGTGCACAACAAAGATTACATATCCTAAAATAGAAATCTTGAACCTCACAGATAGCCTAGGTCCCTAGCAACGGGCCCATAAAAATGCAAACCCCAGGGGACTGAACACCAAAGCAGTAAACCAAAACAATACAAGTCATTATGCAAACACCAAGGCATATAATCTCATTGAGGAAACAATGCCAAATTCCTGGCTCAGACTTAAAAGCATAGGGTTTTGGGGTTTTTTTAAGACAGTGTTTTCAGAGCAGTTTTAGGGTCACAGCAAAACTGAGAGGAAGATACAGAGATTTTCCAGATATCACCCTTCTCGACAAGGGCATAGCCTCCACTTGTATCATAATGTCCCCACCAGAGTGGTCCATTTGTTACAAGTGATGAACGTACTTTGATGCATCATTATCACCATGAGTCTATAGATTATATTAGGGTTCACTCTTGATGTTGGACATTCTAGCAGTTCCAACAAATGTATAATGGCGTGGATCCAGTATACTACCAGTACACTATAATACAGAGTATGGTCCTTGCCTCAAAACCCTCTGAAGGCACAGATTTTAAAATGTACTCAGACTGAGGACCCAGCACCAGTCCACGGTGAATGTTTGCATCCCCTTCAAGGCCTCTCTAACGCCCAGAACACGGTTGCTGGATAAACATACCTACTCCCAGGGGGAACTTCTAACATGAGTCAAGCAGGGATTACTCTGTTCTTTGCTGTGCTCTGCCCTGACGCCCTGGAGCTTTTAGAAAACTTGATGAAAGAAGGAGGATGTGTTCCTGGAAGAGCACTTACCTGCCAGGGTAAGGCAGGAAGGAGAAACCAAAGAGCAAGAAGGGCCCCACCCCCTTGCCAAGGGAAAGCATCTCTGCCCTGTTGTTTTGTGATCCAGGGGTTTGGAAAGATGTTTAAAGAAGATCCCCAAAGTACAGATGTTAATGTAAAAGTAGATGGGTAAACAGAGTTGGATTTCTGAGTCAAATCATAGATGAGATGAATAAAGATATGACAGACTGACAGAGATGTTTACAACAGCGCAACTAGCAAAATAGGTACAGAAATGGGTGCTTTCAGCACAACTGAAAGGAGTACGCAGCCTCTTCTAGAACAATCTGGCAGCATGTAGTAAAATGAAGTAACTGTATGACCTATGACCAAAAGATCTCATTCCTAGAAATATATCTCAAAGTCATTCTCACACAATTCCACAATGGGGAGTATAAATGCTGATGTTTTAAACAGTGGGGAAGTTGAGAAAATAAAATTACATGTGTGACTCGGGGACAGGGTGGGGGACAGGATACTTAAAAAGCGAATATTGCAGGATTCTGTAGGACAGTAAGAAAAAACACACCACAGGTACAGACTGTAACATGCTATGTTGTCACAAGCAGGGCTGACCCGACAGGTGTGTCACAGGGCCTGGATGCAGTGCACTGGGCCTCGAAGGTTCTCACACCATTACTGCTCTGCTGTCTGCATCTTGAAATCCTTAATAATTTTTAAAATATTTTTAAGTTTTTTATTTATTTTTGAGAGGAGAGACAGAGAGTGAGTAGGGGAGGGCCAGAGAGAGAGGAAGACACAGAATCCAAAGCAGGCTCCAGGCTCTGAGCTGTCTGCACAGAGCCCAACGCAGGTCTTGAACCCACAAACTGAAATCATGACCTGAGCAGAAGTCAGATGCTTAACTGAATGAGCCACCCAGGTGCCCCAAAATCCTTAATCATTTTTAAATAAGAGGTCTTATATTGTCATTTTGTACCCACTCTCAAATTTAATGCAGCCAGTCCTGTTCCTAAGTATAGTGTTGGGAAAAGTGGGAAACAGGATGAGATTTATTATAAATACAATATGGAAAAGTTGTATGCTATATACTTTACAATGACGTGTTACAAACCCTACAAGCTTAGAGTAGAATGGAGGTCAAATGTGTGGGAGTGGGGATCAGAGACAAAGATTAAAGTCAAATAAGAATAAACAAAGCCACAAAAGGCCCTTATAATTCAGGAAAACTCTTCCCCCTCTTCAGACGACCTTTCAGCATGGAAAACATTAGTGTTCCCATCACTTTAGAGGTTTACTTGGTTTAATGTCATCAGATTACATCTGCACCCTCGTAATTGTGAAAACAGAAACTAGGAGCCCATGCAAAGCAAAATTTCCGAATATTCCCTGTGGGTTCCATACCACCAACCCTCCACCCAGTGCAGACACGGGAACTGCTCAGTGCTCGCACAGTAGGAAAGAGACTGGTCTGGTCGGAGAGAAGGAAGGCCCCTGGCTCTGCTTTTGGCTGCCTGGAGATCTTGAAGGAGATCCTGTTTTTCTAGGCTTCTGTTCAAACAACTGGATACGCTTTCTGTGTTTCCAGACACAGATATTCAATTTGCATATTCAATTGATATTCACTTTGCATAAGAAGGTAGAGCAAATTTAGGAAAGTCAAAGCAGGAATTGGGAATGAACAGCACTACAAGTATTGCAATTAATGGTGCAGGGGGATTGGGCATTTTATAGAGATTCTTGTATGACTGGGTTGTGGCAACTATTCCTGGATGGAATTATTTCATGGATGGAGAGTCTACGTTCTCTCAGAACCTTCCAGTCCATCTAAGTCTTGAGGCACAGAACCCAGGGACAGGCTTGGAGGAACTGGGTTTTAATCCATTTCCATTAACACATTGTTTTTTTCATCTCTGGCTTAGAATCCACCTAACGAGGTTGCCTGGGCGGCATCTGTCATATTTGAAGCCATGATTAATGTGCCTCGAGTTGAGAAACTTCTGATTGCAACATCTTGTGGGCTGGCTGGGACAGAGCATGATCTCCTGAGAGCAGCCTCTAAGAGCTGGAATTAATCTGAAGCTCCCAGGACTTGAGGACAGCAGACACCCCCACACCCCCAGAGACTTCGGAGATCAGGTAGTGACTAATGATCTATCTGAAGGGACTGGACATGGTATTTCCACGAGATATAGGAAGTATTTGGAGGTACAGAAACTTTACGTGTTGGTGAGGGATGTTGTATTTTGGTTCTACCACATTGAGCAAGAGATAGCGAGAGTATAATGTGACTATTCCAGACAGAGAAGATAGAATGCATGTCACTGAGTTTCAGAAAGCTGTAGCATTGAGAGAGCAGACTTTGCTATATTTTAGTCTCCTCCAGAGGAAGGGTCCTAAACCCACACCCGGGGAAATGCAAGTGGCAGATTTTCTGGATTTAAGAGACCATTCTCTTGGATTGTGCATCTAGGGGGGTTGGGAAACAATGTCTGGATCATGCTTTAAGAAGCTGGAATTTTTAAAAGGCCCTCTATTTCTTGTTCCATTGGCCTTGAGCGCAAATATTTCTTCTTCTGAGCGGTCATCTGCGGGAAAATGTGGGTCCAAGTGATTGGCTGGTGTTGCCATACCAGGTGACATTCTTGCTTCTGGAACATTCTTATAGTTTGTGAGGACATGCCATTCTCCTTTTCTCTGCTTTGTAATGAAGAACCCTACTGGTGAGGAGTGAAAAAGTGGTTCCTGCTAATGTCTTATTTAAGAGCCATGTGCTCCTCTGGCCCTCATCATTGAAGACCCGCATGAAGGCCAGGGCCATGAGGATGGGCCAGCCTGGAGGACCCTACCTCCCTAGGCATTGGGAGATGAATGATTGTCCTTTCTTTCTACGCGTCAAAGCCAAATGGTTATTTCCTTGATTTTACAATATACTTATCTTTTATCTTCTGTTTTCAGAGATAAGAAAGTTGGTAGCAGACTTTCTTCATGTTTGGAAAAAAAAAGACATCTGTTCAAATATATTATCCCTTTAGCACACTTATGACTTCAGAAATATGATACTGTGTGGAACTAAGTGCAACTGGGGATAGGAATAAGGTATCAAGGAAGTCATTTTACTCTAATAGGACTAGTTTTAATGTTCCTTCACTGACCTATTTATTCTATGTCTCCTTTACTTCATACAAGAAAATGAGGGACCAATTATCTCCTCCACAGCTCCTCCTTTGTTATCTGTTTTATTTATTCATTTATTTGAAGCAACAATCTTCCAGAGTTCAAGGGCTTGGTCCTCAACGTTGCAGAAGGGCCGTGAAAATATGGTGCCCTCTAGTGTTGGCTATTTTTTTCTTTTCTCCCTTGAGCATTTAATTCCCCATTTAGCCTAAAAGTCTCCCCTGTTGGGGTTCTCCTGGGCTTGAAGCACAGAGCTGCTGGCCTCTCAACCCTATTGGAGGATCCTGTTCAAGCTGCCAGTGTCCTTCTTGCTTTGGTACAAAGTGCTAAAACCTCAGATCTGAGATTTGCAGTCCTAGAAATCCTATCCTTTAATGACTTCCTCCCATTCACTTGTTAATACTCTCCTCACCCTTCCAGATTTCTTCTCTCCCTCTGTGGGTGGGGGAATTCAGAAAACAGAGAACAAAATTAGATCCTAATTCTGATTAACCTGGCTACTAATGGTTGTGCAACCTTGTGAGTCAAGCTTCTTTGGTAAGAGATGGGAATATCAGAGCTTTGTGAAGGATGCTGAGGTGAGGACGAGACAGAATTTGAATTTTTGTAAATACCCCAATTGGTTTTAGATGGGTTACGTTGGATAAAAAGGGAAAAGGTGACAAACACCAAAATGTCTTAACTGACAGGCAACAGTCATCTAACGATCGAAGTCCTTGATACCACTGCCAGAGAGGCTGTGATCAGCAAAAAGTGAGATGGGCAGATGGAGCCTGCTGAGATGGTTATTACAAAGTAGAAATACTAAACTGCATGGATTTGCCCCATAAGAAGATTTCAACCGTCATTAGGTTTAAAAGTTTATTTACTTATTTTTTTGAGAGAAATATAGAGCACAAGCAGGGTAGGGACAGAGAGGGAGAGAGAGAATCCCAAGCAGGCTCCGCACTGTCAGTGCAGAGCCCAATGTAGGGCTCGAACTCAGAAACCATGAGCTCATGACCTGAACCATAATCAAGAGTCAGACGCTCAACCGACAGAACCACGCAAATGCCCCAGTAGTCGTTGGATTTAAATTTACACCTAATTATTTCTAAATGTCTTAAGCATATTTTTATTATAAGAATAATTCAAGCTAATGAACTCATTGAGGAAAATACATAAACAATACATAGCAAGAGAGAGGAAATTTTTATTTCTAGTCTCCAAATATAATCACTACCAGTTTGGAGTGATCTGTATAGTTTTCTTGAAGATCATACTTTTTTGGTTCATTTACTTAAGGTATTTTTAAAGTAGAATTGTAGTTATATCTTTAAGTTGCTTAATCATTTTTTACTCTATAGCCCTAGAAAAACTGCAAAATTCCATAAATATGAGCAAACTTTTAACCCAACATATACATTTTTTATCATAATTTTAAACAGTTGCAAGGGAGGCCCTTGAAATTTAAATTGTTTTCATTCTGCGATCATCAAGTTGCATTTTCTTTTCATTTTTCAAGGATTTTCCATTATACTTTTATTAGTTATGTAATTGGTCAAAGGATCATAAACACATTAAAAGTTTAATGAATAATCGCTAAGCATTAAAGCCAAGTTTTATTAGCAATTAATGTCTTAATGACCTGAATGGAACTTTTCTAATTCATACACCCAGTGATGGTCATTATTTATTGACAGATGAAATAAAACTGAGCATGAGTTATTTTCCATCTATTCAACAGATGTATTGAAAAACCATGTTTACATAATGCTATTCAATTCTTGAATTCTTTCTAAAGCTGTGTCACAAATCACATAGTGATACATCCACAAAAGATATTTTTAATGATCTACCTCCTAACAACTCAAGTAGATTGTTTGCCAACTTTTTGAAAGGAAAGAAGTAAAAACTAACACATTTGCAGAGGTGAATCGCCCTTGGGAAAGGACTGCTCATCAACAATACCTTTGCCAATACCAATGTCAATGTTATCAAGTGTTCCTCCGTACCCTACATCATACTAACATGTAGGAGAGGGGAGAGGTGGACCTGCCTTTTGTAGAGTTAGAACAAGAGAACCAGCTTGAAGCTAGAAGCTCTCAGGTCATATCAGTGTTACAAAAGCATATAGATAGGAGTCAAAGATCTAGAATTTGAGTTCTTAAAAACTACTTACGTGCCTATGTATTTCTTGGAAAGTCATTGTATATTCTGGAATGAATATATATATATATATAATCCTCCCTCCTGACAATTTTTTGCCCACTTAATGTAATATCTGAAGTGTGTCTTCATGTTATTATATAGTTTTCAGGAACATTTTAATGGCTTTGATGTGGAAACGTTGGGGCTCAGAGACAGCCAATAAAGAATTCTTGAGACGCCTTTGGTGCAATAAGGTGGTTTTATGAAAGGATGGGGACAGGCCCTGGGGGCAGAAGGAGCTGCACTGGGGTCATGAGGAGTGACTGATGATATGCCTTCAAGTTGGCAGGGGGGTAGGGATAGTATCTGTCTCTAAGGACTATGGAAACAATGTTTCCGGGACCTTGAAGGGCTGACTGTTGTTAGGAAAAGGTCATGTATTACTGTTTAGTAAAACCTTAGTCATGAGACCCTTCAGATGTGTATCAGTGGGCCACAGGCTTAGAGGATGGTTGCCAACATGTATCTGGGGAGTAGAGAGAAAGGAAGTTTCCAGAGGAATTCTCATATGCTTACAAGGTGCTGGGGGATCGGGCGAAGACTGTACTTTGCCCTTAGCAAAGTATCAACATCAAGGCAGCTGAGCTCCTTGACGGTCACTCTGTTCATCTCAAGGACTTGTCACTGAGCTGTAAGCTGTAAGGAAATTTAATTTTTCTTCTCTTACCTTTGTTCCCCACATCAGCTTTAGCTACAATAATTAATCAATTATCTAATATATTTAATAAACACAGTATATTTTATTTAAACACCTCTTTACAATTGAACATGTTTTTAGGTTTTATTTCAGATAACAAACATGAAAGCAGCTTTGTGCAAAAAGATCCCCCCCCCGCCCCACCTTAAAAGTAAAAAATGTATTCCCTTTTTTTGAGAGAAAGAGAGAGAGAAAGAGTGCGCATGCGTGTACGTACATGCACAGGGGAGGGACAGAGAGAAAGGGAGAGAGAGAAACTTAAGCAAGCTCCACATCCAGCATGGAACCTGACATAGGGCTCCATCTCACCACCTTGAGTTGGGAACCTGAGCCAAAATCAAGAGAAGGATGGATGCTAATCGACTGAGCCACCCAAGCGCCCTGCGACATTTATTTTTTTTAGTATCTTTTTATTGAGTGAAACATCTGGGACATAAAACGTGAATAGTCTTAAGAGATGCTAGTAAATATAGCAATGTTGTTTACCAAATGAGTTGCACTAATTTATGGCGGAACTAGTGATCATTAAGAACACCTGCTTTGCAACATAGTTTTTTTTTTTTTTACTCCAGTGATAATTATATTCAATAAAAATGCACAAATCTTAAGTATGCAGTTTGGTGAGCCTTGACAATCATCCTAGTCAAGATATAGAGCACTGCTATCACCCAGAAGCTTCTTCTTGTATCTTTCCAGCCAATGCCACCACCAAAGAAATATGGTTGTTTTTGCTGTTGTAGTACCTTCATTTTTACCTGTTCTTTTTTTTTCCCCCCTAAGGATTTATTTTTACATCATTGCTACACCCAACACCAGGCTCGAACTCACAACCCCGAGATCAAGAGTCACATACTCCACCGACTGAGCCAGCCAGGCGCCCCTCATTTTTCCTGTTCTTAGTCTACATAGAAAAAGAATTATCAAGTAAGCATTGCTTTGTGTTTTGCTTCTTTCACTCAGCAACACATTTGTGAGGTTTATCTCTGTTGTGTCAGTGAGTTCTACTGAGTCAATATAATGCAATTGTGTATCCCTTCTATTATCGATGGACATTTGGGCTACCTCCAATAATTTG